ACAGACATACAACCATTGGTGGAGAGTTAGCAAGAGAGTTGGTCTACTGTGATTATATCACTGTTTCAATTCATGATCTATTTCGAATGGTTTCATTGTAATCCACATTGATCCATTAACTTTAATTTGTCATGTAAAGCATAGGTTCCCAACCAGGGGTGCAGGCTGCAAATATCTCCGGGAACGAGGCCTTTTCTGAGATTGTTAAAATAACTAAAATTATTACAACTACACTAGTTCAAATTTCATTTGGTAAGATCATGTGTGTAAAAGCCTTTTGGGATTTTATCAATGAAATCAACAAAAATTTCTGTCAATTTTGACAGCAATTTATAATTTTTCTTCATGTCGGTCCTGATGGAGCGACAAGTGGTGGTGGTGATGGAGGAGGGAGGGGGGACTATAAGGAAAAAAAATTGAGAATACTGATGTAAAGTGTTTTAACTGGTGAACGTAGGGTACTATAATAATAATAATAATAATAATACATTTAATTTGTAACGTACTTTACATTTTTGCAAAAAAATCTCAAAGTGCTGCAGGAAGAAAAATAAAATAGAAATAAAAACAAATTTAATCAACTATAAAGCCACAGGCCTCACCAACTCAAAGCTTTACATATCTTATGTAAGTCTTATGTGAACTCATAAGATCAGTGCACATATGACTAACCTTTAAAGGATTTTTTATTTACAGATTCAAGTATGTACGCACATTTCCTGTTTGAGGCTTTTGACACCCACAACAACGGATCAGTCAGCTTCGAGGTGACTTCTCTCTCCCTTCACTCAACTGTCAACAAAAATGTTTTTATTCCTTCCTGCCTTCCTTCACTTTTGTGTTTCTTCTTTGTGATCTTTGATGGAAAGTCCACACTTGCAAAACACAAACATCTCTAAATACATGCTTTCACTTTCCCATTTTACTGTTTAACCTTTACTATTATCTAAAAACATATGGCACACATTTGTGTTTTTTTCCATGGGCTTTCCAACATACATACATAAGGAGGAATTAAAAGGAATTAAAACACTCACAAAGTTTTTCTATATAAGATTTTTTTCTGATTTGTATTACATATCACTAATACATACTTAATTTATTTGATATTATAGCATACTATATAGTCTTTTTTTTGTTTTGTTCTTTTGCCTTTGACTCTTCTATCACTGCCCTAATCTTATTTTCAATTTTCTTTGTGCTGTAGGACTTTGTTTTAAGTCTGTCTATTATACTGAGAGGCTCCATCAATGATAAACTGAACTGGGCCTTCAATCTGTACGATCTGAACAAAGACGGCTGCATCACCAGAGAGGTACTTACACTATGTTTCTCTTTCTGTACATGTATGAATATTTTGTCCCATTATGTCAGCTTGACTAGTTCTTACTTCTTTCTTCCTTTTCACCTCTGTCTGTCTGTGCAGGAGATGACTGATATCATGAACTCCATCTACGACATGATGGGGAAGTATACCTACCCCAACATGAGGGACAGTGCTCCCAAAGATCATGTTGACAACTTTTTCCAGGTGAAACACAAATCTGTCAAGTTTGCGACACTGAAAATGTACAATAAAACCTAAAAACATTATAACCCAGTTGTATAATGTGGTCTGATTATGTTGCTTAGGCTTCTTGACAACCCTCTGTAGAAGTTTTGACCACAATCAGTGTCATGAAGTTTTTTACAAGCTTATCCCTGATTTGTTTGCATCTCTTTAACATGGACACAGATTTAAGCATATGAAACTATAGAAACACATACATGTGTGTTTTAATGCAATAAACCTCATCAGATGGTATTTAGTGTCAGTGCCATAAAATATGTAGCAATGTGTCAACAAAAAGCAAGATGACTGATAAATACTGCTAGTTAGAAAAAGTAAGGTACATAATAGATGCTAACAGAGAAGCACAGACAAAATGTAATTGCCCATTTAAACATCTCTACCTGTGTGATTTATTTTCCAGAAAATGGACAAGAACAATGACGGAGTGGTCACCATCGAGGAGTTCTTGGAGACATGCCAAAAGGTCTTCTGGAACAAAAAGTTTAAACCCATTTCATATAAACATTTAAAGGAAGAATGTGCAACATTTTAGAGCTAAATATATCAGATATCAAGTATAATCTCTGTAAATTACTCTCTGAGTCATGACTGTCTACAATGAGTGAGAAGCATGAGTCCCATCAGCTGTATTGTAGCGGAGCCATGTTTATATTATGTTTACATGGATGGGATGGTCTTGCATATAAAGCTGTTTTAGTCAAGGACTAGAGAAAAGAAGAATAACATTCTCACTGCATATTTGTATGTCTTGTGTGGTGTTTAGATCACAGTCATTCCATGTCAATTTATGTGAAATATGAAGCTATGAGTTAACCAAAGTGTGCTAACATTAGCCTGCTAACACAATGCAGGCCCCAGGCAGTTGCAGTTCAAACAAAGGACAATTTTTGTCCATTACTTGCACTTAATGGTGCTTAATTAAAATGCGTTCAAATTCACAACTCATTCTTGAAAATGAGTGGAGAGGGGTTGGAGGTGTGACGCTGGAGGAGAGCGGAGGCTTCAGAATAGCAGACGTGTCTCCGAACAGCAGTTTGTTTTGGTTTAATGCTGGCGCTCAAGGGCGACATCTACTGGATCAAAAAGTCACACATTCTTCCTTAAATGTCCATCAAAAGCTTCACTTCTATCTACAGCTCAATTATTGGTTTAAATTCACCCCCCCCCCTTGTTTTTCTTTCCAGGATGAAAACATCATGCAATCCATGCACATGTTTGATAATGTGATCTAAGGCTTTGGTCGACGCACACATGAGATTTTCTCTCCTGTCTGAAGCTGAAGGGACGCTGTTTGCAGGGCACAAGAACCTTAAGATATCTAACCATAAAACTACTATTTCTATCCTTTTTAATCAAGGTATGTAGTCAGTCAGGGAATAATAAGGTAAAGTATGTGTTTTAAAGCATCACACCATGATTGAATGAGCTGTGCAGGACTTTGTGACGCAGCACATTTAATGCTGAAGAGAAGCAGCTCTTTAACTTTGTGAACAGAGGCTAAAAAAAGAGACAGTTAACCCTCTCTTCACTCATCCAAATGATGACTATAAAACCTAACCATACTTCTGTAGTGCATGAATGACTGAGCAGACACATTGAAGAAATTGAATGATGCTGTAGAGCTTCACACTTTCTATACTCACAGTTTTACTACTAGAGGGACGGCTCTATTAAAGGGGGATGAAGTTTGAAATCAAGCAATAATTTTAAGGTAACAGAATCTAAACTCCTCTGTGTCCTCTCACATTTATTACAATACATAATGTGTCAGCATGAGGTGTCTGTTTTGACTGGTGATTAAGATGTGAAATAAAAGTGTTCATATATTTTATATGGTCCAGGTAACAATGAAGATCAATCTGAACATAACACAGTTTCTATGCATAATTACAGGATTTCTATTAATAATTCTAAAAATATTACAACTTCTAAAATTATATTGTGTCTGATGTCACAGTCCGCCTTCTTTTTTAGCTTTAGTTGAAGATCTAATCTTAGCTTTTTTAGTGTGTATCTTTTGCAAAGTCATACATACTCCTGAACATCAGGCTGGACATCGGCGCTACAGCAGGACTGAATTAAAAACTTCCTAATTTGGTTTATTAGTTTTAAAAACGTATCTCTGCATCTTACTTTCTCACAACAATTGGCTGTTCAAACATATCAGCTTCATGTCACCTGGCTGTTGTCGAGCCATGTCAGTGACATGCAGCAGTCTGAAATCTGCCATTCTCAATGCAATAGAAGACATATAAACTTGAATAAACTAAACACTTACAGTATGTATGTATTTCTATAGTTTTATATGAGGGATTGTACAGGCCGTAATTCATTCTGGCCCTCTCTCACACATTCTTCTATCATATACATATATTCTTCAACATATATCCATGTTAGTTAAAATCTTTGTATGTGAAAAGAGAACATGCATAAAAAGAATAGAACAGAACGTTTATTTATAAAGTACATATATGGAGAATATCTATGTGAAGAGAATATGTGTGTAAGTGAAAGGGAGAATATTTGTGTGCGACGGCCAGAATAAATTATGGCTTGTATGGCCCCTCATAGATTTAATATAATACTGTTCTCCTTGACTCTTAAAGTTCAAAAGAAACCGATCAAGCTGCTGCTACCATTATGCTGAAGGTTTAAGTTTGAATAGTGTCAGTTTGTGATTTTTAATCTTCTATCCAAGTCTAGAATGAATCTGTTTGTCAGCGTATAATGCCTGCAATGCATAATAAAAAAAACTAAATTACTACAACTTATAAATTATTTTTCATGTTGTTGTATAGTTCCATAGACTGTAAATATTAATTGACGAAGCCTGAGTGACGTCAGCCATCTTTACTGCAAGGGGGCTCCAGAGGCTCATGGGCAGCCGCCGCCATGCTGGAAATCTTTCAGTCAACCGAACAACAGGCTGAGAGCCGAAGCTGAGGCGGGTTTTAAGCCTCTTGACGAACACGCCCACCTGTCAATCATACGCGCCTAACTGTGGATAACACGTATTGTTCATAAAGTAAAAACAGTGCCGTTTAAAAAAAATCTCCCCTGTACAGTGTGTGCCCATGATGACAGCGGCTAATCAGACCTATTTTTTTTTTGTACCAGGCTGTACACGTTTATTTATGCTGTAAAAACGGCTTTTTTCGCATGTTGTGTGTATGAGACTTAGTTTTCCTGGAGCCAGCCTCAAGCGGACACTCGACGAACTGCAGGACTTTGCACTCCACATTGGCTTCTTTTTTCAAGACCGGAGGTGTGTAAATGTGCATGATGAAGTTACACCAAAGGAGGTTGTCATCATGTGATGGATCCCAAACTGACACATTAAAATGTGCAGGTTCTTCATGTATAATCATAGCTTCCAGGTTTAACAGGTACGTCTCTCCTGAATTTAAACTCAATAAACACAGACAACTTTAAAGTTTAATATATCCTTTATTTTTATTAAACAAAATTTCAGTAAAAACTCTTGAGTAGAAACAAATTTCCCTGTCAGTAGTTTTCTTCAGCTGTAGAGCGGACCCCAACTACATTATCTCACGTTGACTGATTTTAAATCACATGACCATCATTTCTTTGAGTTCTGTTTGTATGAAAGACAACTTTGTTAATATTCTAGTAATGCCAGATAATACGAACCTTTCCCAATGTATAATTAAAAAAGATGAGCACTTTTCTAAAAACAAACATCTACATTCTGTAAAGTTATCCACATGTCAGCTGATCTCATCATTTGGGGTTGGCCCTACACTGCTCTCTCAAAGGTCTGTCAGAGACCGCCATACTCCTTGTCTGTTCATTCCTACTGAAATAGTGCTGTGAGAAAGACGGAGCCAATTTTAACTGGCTCTCCAACAGCGGGAGAAAGTTTACAGTTTATAGTGTCGAACTGCGGCGTACACAGCAGTGTCTGTTACAAAGGCGTTAAGAAAGAAAGAGAGCGGTGAGCGGGTGCACGTTCAGCCACCTCTGGCAGTGTTTTCAACTATTATTCTCTTTTTTTATTTAAACTTTTCTTAGAAAAAAGAAGAAGCTACATGATTATCATCACAAAATAAAATCTCTTTGGCATAGAATACCCACCCAAAAGCGTAAACACACACATACATGCTCACATACTCGCACACACGCACACACTCGGAAAAGTTCCTCTAACAGAAACCTACAAGCATCGCCGTTGTCAGAAATAAAATCAGCAAATTATGCCATAAAACAAAGTTGAGCCCTGTTAACATTATGAGTCCCGTACTCAGTAATAATTGCATATATTACATTAGGCCGAGAGCAAAGGGAAAAATCTCTACACATGACTAGACCCTCTTCCTTTATGTCCCATTAGGTCCCACATCTGCTCCTCAACATCTTCACCTCTCCTCTGGGTCTGGAAAATAAAGAAAGAGAAATGATGAGAAGATGTTCGCTAACTATTAAAGCACAGCTCGTCCACTTACATGTAATTTAAAGTTTATCAGAGGTTTTTGTTGAAGAGAAATATCCAACATTTAAAGATAACCTTTCTTAATTTAGACATATTTTGAGTGGAGACTTCTAACATAAAGTTTCTCCCAAACATGGGAACTTTTTTTTAAACTCTCCAGAGCGGAGAAACTCCTGTATTTATGTTTCTACCTGGTCTCTTCTGTGTCCAAGCAGGTGGAAAATCTGAAGTCAAGGATTTTACTACAACCATCAGGATTAAAGTCACTTGTGTTTTGTTGAAGTAAAAGTTTTTTCAGATGCAGAATATGTATTCTTCCTAAAACATGAAAACAATCACTGTAGAAAGTAAGCCGTGTAAACTTGTAAATGGAAGTAATCATTTGAAGAGGAAGCTAACTTTCTACTACAGACAATTTCCAAATATATGGATGTAAACCACTCAGACTTTGTATTCATCTTTCCCCCCATTGCTGAATAACAGTAACAATTAAATAAAGTATTAATTCTCATGTTTTTAAAGCACCTATACTTTCCACTCACTTCCATACTTTTTAAAGAGAAGGTGATGCATGGCGTGTATGCTACCGGGACACCACCCGGGGCCTGATCACCCCTGGCATTGAACACATTTACTGAGACTGAGCTACTGCCGCCCCAAATTTTGCCATGTAAACTTAAAAGTTTTGAAAAAAGATGAAAACAAATGTGTCGCCAACTCACTGTCAACTAAATCTGAACAAGCTGGTTTAAACTAGTTCAGCTTAGATTGTCTTTGTTACTCTTTATATGCCCTTCAAACAATTTGATTATAAGTAAAACGCCTGTTATTTTGTGTTCCAAATTAAATATTTACTTTTATTGAGATTTTTTAAAAACGTATCTTGATTGGCTTTGGTAACCTCTCATGTGCTCACCTTAAGGTCAGTACTCAGGGTATGCTTGTCTGTCGTAGGCCATGCTGCCTGCGTATTCGTCGTGCATCATGGTCCCATCCATGCAGTCCATGGGAATGTCAGCTGCATACCCTCCGTAGCCTTGGAAACCAGCGTCCAGCTCTGCAATAGATTACATTCATTAATTACTTGTTAGACACTTGAACAACAAATTTTATGTCATTTATCTTGACTTAAATACTGCATCTGTCATAATAGGGGGTAAGAAAAGTGTGATAATAAGCTTGTAAAAATCTTCCAACATTTTCCCCATTTTGGGCACATGGAAAAACACAATAACAGAGAGAGAAGACACTGATCCTTTCTCACCTCAGGGTCCCTCTACTCTGAGGAGACACACAGCCATACAAGGAGAGACAGAGGAGGTGAAAATGTAGGAATTAAGGAAGGGATAATGAAGAAGCAGAGTAGGATTTTCTGGCACGACTTCACCAAGTAACAAGATGCACCAAGAGTGAAAGGCTTGAAGAGGTCAAAATGCTCCAGTAACACTTGGAGTATGAAGATCCACTTTATCTAAATAACAACAACTTTGTTAAAGTTGATCTTCATACTACAAGTGTTGCTGGAGCATTTTGTCCTGAATTGAGGAAGGGATGAAAACCCAAAAAGAGAAGTAAAATGACAGAGAGAAAAAAAACTTTCGACTAGATAATTAAGTTTACAACAAAGAAGATTCTCCTGTCTTTCACTGAAAGTTTAAGTAATCTGCTGAATAATGCGGTAACAGAGAGTTAGCTGAACATAATGCAACTATTATTAAAGCTAAAAAGGCAAACAGAACATGGGTTCAAAGGAGACATTTCCAGCATATTTAAAAAAGAAAGTATAAAGGGAAACTAGAAATCAAATACAAATATCCTAAATGTAACATTTCCAAAGCTTCATTTCACTAAAACACTTTTTTTTAGGTTAATGAAGCCGTGAAAATGTTGTGTGGGCAGAGGCATCCTGTTAGCAGATTACAGCACATTTGCACTGCAGTCACTCTCTGTGGTGGAGTGACCCAGAGCGGGGGAATGTGCTGCCTGTGCACATTTCAACATAGTTACTCACCATCTGGATACGGTCCCTCTGCTGGCATACTGTTGTGTGCCTGCAGGGAGGTCACGAGATGGGGAAAGGTCAAATAAAGGCAGCACTTTTATAAATAGAAAGCTTATTAATAGTCTTCAAAGAATTACTAGATTTTAGTTCCAACAAACAACTGATTAACAATGTTCTTTACAACTTCTGTCAGCATTATAAAAAAAAAGTGTCCAAATAAGCATGATGTTAAACCAGAGACGTCTGGAGAATAAAACAAATGTCTTTAGAATCTAATTTAATGTTCAGTTGTCAAGTCCTGGCAGCAGAGGGCGCCACACACTCACCGCCTCCCAGGCAACCGGGTCGTGTCTGAACAGGGAGTGTGTGAGCTCCACCGAGACGCGCTTCTTGTAGTCTGAGTTCTTATCCTCTGAGATTCGGAAGAGCACAGCTGCAGCGTAAGTGGCTGAGGAGAAAAAAAAAACACAAAGACACATTCAATGTCACACAGTAGTCTTCAACTCCTTTTTACAAAATGAACGTGTTAAAGTGTGGGTGTGTCGACAGGGAAACAGATCCAGTCCACATTTTAGTCTAGTCTTCACCAGAGGTTAAAGTTTGAAGGATAAAGAAACAAACAATATCATAGTTTTAGTGCTAATGACTGCAGCAATGACTCCAGGTATTAGTAGTAGAAGCATTCTCTGAGGCATTATGTTTTAAAAAAAAAAAGAATTCAGAGTCAAATGTAAAGCTTAAAAACATTATGTGCTGTTTTTCTGTAAAATTGTGCAACAGTTAATCAGCTAGTCTTGTTTATCAATCTTAGTGACAAATACTATGTAGTATGAGAAACAAAATATTATTAATTATCTTAAATGCATATTCATTATAAAATTTAGTTATTTGTTATTTTGAAAAACACAAATGTTCTCTTTGTCGAGAGATTAGATCACTGATAACCCTCTCATAGCTTAACACTAAATCAAGAGCCGGAGCTAACAGCTAGTTAGCTTAGCTTTAAAATAAAGATTGCAAACAGGGAGGACTCCTTACCTGAAAGTTAACAAAATCAGCCTACCAGCACTTTAAAGCTCACTGATAAAAAAAAGTTTGTCTTGTTTGTTAACTATTAAAGCTCCTGTGAGTCATTCTAATTTTGTTCTCTGTGGACAAAGTAGTGCCTCTCAACACTTTAGCTTATTTTGACCTGTACATGTTCAAGTTATCTGTTGTAAAAAAGGGGAGGAACACACTTTTTCTTAAGCGGCTGTTAATAATTAAATCTGACACCTACCGCCCTGGCAGCAGTTTCAAGGCATCAACATTTATTATAAGGGAAAAATTATTTTTTTATGCTGATGATCACGTTACTTTTTTTAGGTCATAAAGACACATCAGTATAAATTTAAGTCAGTTTCATATCCAGCAAAAAAAATCCTCAGTGGCTTTAACAAAAAAAGTTAAAGCGATTTAAGCTAGCTAGCTGTAATCTTTATATTTACTCTTCAGACACAAACGTGGCATACATCTTCCACTTATAAGTTAGAAAAGCATTACAAAAACAGGAATATATCAGTCAGATCAAACATATTTAAAATATTGCAAGTCACTTTCTGTAATTTTATTTGCTACAAACACAAACAGTCACTCCGCTGTGAGTGTAAAGTGATATCTGTGTTTCATGTTTAATTATTAAGTTAGAACTAAGAATTTGAATATTTCATGAAGTCAATGACGTGTAGCTAGAATAAGCTACAACACTGCTTCCTTTCTTGACTGCATAGTTTATTTCTTGGTCAAACTGTCGTTGTGAAATATAATGCAGTAAAAGCACACAGTCATTTAGAGTAATTTAGAGAGAAGCACCTGCAAACTGCACTTACAGTGTGCACCACAAGTACTTCTTTGCTTCCAACCTCCAACTAAATGCTTCATTATGGTCAGCTAATGACAAAACATTATCTATGTGTCCTACCGATGCCCTCGTTGCTGGAGTGCAGCAGGTCCATCAGAGGAGACGACGCTCCCTCTGCGTCTATCATCTCAGCTGACGTTTTGTCCAGAGCCAGCTCGCACAGTATGCCTGCCGCCACACGCTTCACGTTATCCACGGGAGAGTAGAGGAGCTGGGGAAGGGAAGAAAGTAATTAGTACAATAACAAAAAAAAACACAAGTAATTTATTTATCAGGACACGGAAGTATTAGTGTTGAAGCGGCCTTTGTTACCTGAACAAAAAGAGGAATGGTCTGCAGGTTGGCGATCTCGGCTCTGTTGATGGGGTCTCTGGCCAGGATGTGCAAAGCTCCTGTGCATCCCTCCACAATCTCCTCCATCCTTACTCCATCCTGAGGAGCAGCATGACAAGAACAAATGTTACCCAAGCATACAGAAAATCCTCAATAATTCAAAACTCCTTTTCCCCAAATCCCTAAAACACACAAGTTGTTTTCACAGAGATCACAAGCGTCCTCTCAAACTTGCTCTTGATGTACCTGGTATGTCTGCTGGGTGGATGAACCGTGTTTCTGAGCATCCTGGTGGGCTTTGAGCAGCAGGTTGACCAGACGGGGGATCGCTCCAGAGTCCCTCAGAGGGGCCTGGTTCTCAGGGCACAGCGCCAGGTTACGGATAAGGCCCACCACAGCCTTCAGGCAAGAAGGAGAGACAAAGAAACAGTCATGAGATGTACACTCTTATTGGTTAACAAGTAAAACAAAGCTGACATACAACTTCAAGATTCTCCATTACATGAATTGATTATTTTCCCCTCAATGCCAGGTCTTGAGCTGTAATGAGCACTTTATGCTCGTTCAGGCTGACTGAGACTCTGGCCTGCAGCCTGACCTGCCAAGCCCCTTGTCCATCTGTCAAGTACCAGCAATTTTGCCCAGTTTTTCTCGTTTCCCCCATGCCCATTAGCTCCCAAATGTGTTTACAAAATTGCCATACGGGCTCCTGTGAGGAACTTTTGGATTGTGCCCCCCTGTGGGTACATCTAATCTCTTTGCTGATCTTATCCTGTATGTGTTTTAATAACAAATCTCATCCTGCATCCTCTTTTCTTGTTTTTTGACTAAAATACTTTTTCTTCAGCATGCTCATCCGACACAGACCTTTACATGCGATAAAAGTTACTATAAAGAAATAATCATAATCATAATAAGCATAATCTTTATGCTGATCATTTTGTTTGCATTTGTATGTCACAGAGACATCAGTACACATAGCTTTAAAGCTCATGTGAGGAACTTTAGGTTTGTGATGATTTTGGACTCCGATGTGGACAAAGTGGTACTTTTAATTTTTAGCAGATTTTGTCCTTTACAATTGTTTTTTTAACAAAATAACTTCATACTCCTTTTTTTTACACTCAAACATATCACTTCTCCAGAATCGCTGCTGTTGAAAATGTTAAAAAGGCTGTTTCTGCAGTGTAGACTTAATCACCTCTGACATCTACTGCAGTTTAAGATATAGAAAATAAATGTAGAAATAATCCCTCCACTTTCTGATGGTCTCATTAGCTTTTTTAGGTCATATATATATATATATATATATATATATAGTAATCAGTAAACATTCAGTCTATTTCATAACCAGCTAAAACTTCTCACAGGACCCTTATTTTAGTATGAAAACCCCTCTCTAGAAAAACCTGGGACCTCAAAAATGAGTCAGTATGACATATGAAATGTGTTACAACTGGCATACAAAAAAGCACCAAGTAAACCTGGTATGACAAATGTAGTTATTATTACATAATTTCCAATTTAATTCCCCCCCTTCTCTCTACCTTGATGACAGGCCAGTAGTAGGGTTGGTTGAGCAGCTTGACGATGGCAGGGATGCCGTAGTGTTGCCTAACAGCGTTCTGTGCCAGCTCAGCCTGTTGGTGGCGGGAGGTCAGGTGACGCAGGGCACAAACAGCAGGCTCAGTCACATCCTGCTTCTCACCAGCACGCAATATGGCATGGATCAGAGACTCCACGCCGTTGTTCATGGTGACCAGAGATTTATTGTGGGCGTTGTTACATGTGAGGTTCGAGAGGATGCCAGTGGAACAAGTGAGCATGTTGATGTCGTCTGAACTGAGGAGGCCGACCAGCGTCTGCAGCAGGCTGTCCATGCCCTCCTGAAACATAACAAAAAAATATTGGCACTGTGCCATAACTGCCAGATATTTTATTAATATATATGTGTGCTTCGTTTGGTGGAAGGAAAGTGGTGTCACTTCTTTCTGTGCATGTCTTGGGTCCCAAATATTTCACCAGCGCAATTTTGGCTTCACTATGTATAAAGGAAGTGGATGGAGACACTGGCCATATTAATATAAAGGCAATGGTGTGAACACAGACCTGCTTGGTGGCAGCGTCAGACAGGTTCCTGAGTGTCCACAAACAGTTCTGCATCAGACGCGGGGTGGACCCTGTAAGGTGTTTCCCCAGAGCCTGCATCCCACCTGCAGGAACACTGAGGTTAGATCACTCAACATCTCATAAAATTGTACTTTCATGTAGCCGACAAGACGCCATCAGAAGCAGTTCAGGTATTAAAGAGTTGACACACCTGTAAGACTGCCTTATACACACACACACACACACGCACACACACACACCCCCACACAGGTGTGCAATTACACAGAAAACACACATTACATACCAGCCTCAACAATGGCGGGTTTGTTGCTGGGGCACACAGAGAGGACTTTGAGCACACGGCTTGTGGTCCACAGCAGCTTCTCATAGTTGTAGTTTCTCATGATGTGAACCAGACCCTCAGGACCCCTGTTGGCGAGGATGATCAGCTGTGTGTGTTTGTGAGAGAGAGATAGAGAGAGAGAGAGAGAGAGAGAGAGGCTGTTTAAGTATGCATTGGTATACAAGGTGCTAGTGGAAAGATAATAACATGTACTCTATATCACTCAGGATCCTTTTGTAAAGAAAATCCTTTAACAAAGCTTTGACCTGTCCAGGCAGACAAACAGCAGTTAATCATCAACAATTTCACTACTTTATAACCACACCCAAACCCGCACTGTGCCAGCATCTGAAGGACTCGGTTCACATGCCGCACCCAAAACAAAACACATGCATGCACAAGCTCGACAACCTGAACAATATCAAATTACAACACTCAGCTAGTATGAAGGGAACCAGTCATTTTGACATGTACAAAGTCAGAAACACACACCTTGCTCTCCTGGTTGCCGTAGGACAGAAGCTGTAGACAGTCTGTGGTGATGGCCAGGAACTTAGGGTTGGTTTTATTCAGCAGGGGAACCATCTTCTGCAGGCCATCTGCCAGACGCACGGCCATCTTGGCTCCTTCCTGGTGCAGCAGCAGGTTGTGGAGCGTGGTGATGGCGTAGAAGAGCACAGACTCCATGGGAGAGCTGAGGGTTCAAATAGGCGGGCTTAGTGTTTATCACAAGAAGAGGCATTTACTGTTGCCATGCATTGAAGTAAAAATCCATTGCAGTGTGCTCATGGTTAGACGCCATCCCTCAGTACATTTCATGTAAAATTTTAAGTAGTTATTCTTTTTACTTTTGGGTTGGATCTACTTTATTCCAACCTTTCCACTTCTTCTTGATTCCCAAACTAGTCAATATAGATTTTGGTCAAACTGCAACTGATTGTGGCAAAGTTTTTCTTTTAGGATACTGTAGACATTTAACATCGGGCAAACTGGCAGGTTAAAGGCTTTTTATTTTTCTTCTCCCTAGCCATGCCTCACTGTTTAATACCTCCATATTATTTCACATCGTCTGGCATTTTTCAGGAAGGATTTTGAACAACGAACTCAAACAGCAAAAACTATCTTTACTAAAACCATTTCAGTGTTCTAAATTAGTGACCAGTTGGGCCTTCCTCTGCCAAGCCAGGCATGGTCGACGGCAGTCCACCAGTGAGTCTGGTTCTGCTCGGAGTTACTGCTTATTCAAAGGTTTTTTGGAAGTATTGGTGGATTGATGTTAGATCTCGGAAAACAATATTAGAAAGAGTATGGTCAAGTCAAGCCCTGATCCTTGAATTCATCCTGAAGTACCTGAGCATGCGGACCAGAGCAGGGATGCCTCCAGACTTAAAGATGGAGAGCAGGCCCTCTCTCTGGTGGGACAGGTTGTGGAGGATGCTGGCTGTAGCCCGCGCTGTCTCCATGTCGCTAGTGTTCTGCATTGCTCGCACAACCGCCGACACCATCAGCGGGGACTGCATCATTGCACGCCGAGACGCGTCCTTCTTTGTGAGCTGGTTGACAATCTGTGCTGCCTTGCTGACCACCACCTGGTGAGAAACAGGACACAGAGTTCATCTCTGCTGTTGGAAATATTATGAACACCTTTACAGTAAGTGACTCTCCTGGTTTCAATTCCTCATCTACAGTGGAGCATGCTTAATATTATTATCTCTCACAATATCAACATATATCATAAGTGATGTATAATTTAAATAAATAAATCTATGTTGATTTCAGACTGTTTGTGTGTTAAGAGTGTGACATAATTACCGCGTCTTCATCGTTGAGCAGTTTAGTGAGCTCGGGAATGGCACGGGTGGCCAGCTCGGCATCGTCCTGGTAGTTGATCAGATGGACGATGGCCTCCTTGAGCTGCTGGGAGGGCTCGGCCAGTTTCTGGACGTTGGTCATCTGGGACGGGTCCGTCTGAGTTAGGAGCACACTGGTACCTCCCGCAAGCGTCTCTGGGAACATCGCTGCACGCACCCTCTCTGCTCTGGTGTGATATTGGGCCTCATCTTGAGTTGAAAAGAGAGATGATAATATCACCAGTGCACTGAGGAATTTGCCTCTGTATACAGAGCGCCTGTTCTACTGGATGAGCTCCCAGGCGACACATTATTCAGGTAAAGGTGTAGTAGAGTATAATGTCGTTTATATGCACATTAGCTGGGTTGGGTCTTGTTCTCTTACCTGGTGCTTCACTTGTGACCGTGGTGGTCATAGTGTAGTGCTTGGTGTATTCACTGTCGTCATCTCTATTGATTGTGGGGGCTGCAGACTGGATACCAGAGTCCATGTTGTACCTTGTCTCCTGCCACTGTGACACCTTCGTGATGCCCCTTTCAGCCTCACCCACTGCAGAACAGGAAGAGAGAAATTGTTGAATGTTAGAGGTCCAAGTCACTAATGAATTCTGTTTTAAGATATTTAGTTGTTGACATGTGACTTAAGTTTTTTTTTTTTTTACAAACTATTGTTTTTTTTTCTGTGCTCAGCCCTGATTTTCCTCCCTGAGTGTGACCTGCTACACTGTTCAAAGAAACAGTTTTACAGAAGTCACCTTTAGTTCTTGTTTGTATTTAGGAAGTGACCTCAATATAAATACATGAAAACAATAGTTGGTAAGGTCATGTGAGAAAAAAAAAAGCTCATTGGTCCCATTTACAAGTCGTATTGAATTATGTGATGCAGAAAAAGCTTAAAATGAAATTGCCCAACTAAAGTCAAGGTTGTCCAAACTTAAAGTACCTTTATATTTTTTGCCTTTTAAAACAAAACAAACTTCATTACATTAATGATCAATAACATTGAAAAGTACAGAAGCTTTAAGTAAAAATCTTCGGACATATTTTAAACCAAAAGCTGTGAGCAATAGTGATAGAGTGCCGTTTAAATAGCACAAATATGAACTATTGCAAATGTATTAGTGCAAATTGGATAGTAAGAAGGAGTGTGCCTGTTTTTATTGGTTATTAAAAACAACAAATCACCCATGAATGAAACAGGTATCATTTTGTTTTTTTCAGTATTATAATCTACGTTTAAATTCTAGTATGTTGACAACCCTACCCGAGATCAACATAAACTAACTGTGTTACTAAATATGGAACAGAAAATGAAATACATTAAAATGTGTTGAAAACAAGAGCTGAATTATAAATTACTTACTCATTTCCATCCTGGCTTCCCGTTATAAACACAACGCTGAAGCAAACCTAAAAAGAAACAAACAGAGTCAAAGTTAGGATTCAGTGGAACATTTTTCTGTCATAATGAAGACAAATCTGCAAGCCTGCTTTTCTCATGAATAAATGAATATTCCAGTGAGATCTCTGCTTCCTTACACAACACTGTCTTTCAGTTTTATATGAAGCTGGTACATGACAGCTTAAAGATGACCCCCAACACACGGACACACACACGCTCTCTCTCAGACATGCACCCTGACCTGTAAATGACAACACGGAGCAGCAGCAGAGGCTCATGGGAGAGAAAGAGAGAGAGAGGGTGAAGTGGGCGGAGAGACAGCTGTGAGTCAGGAATGCTAGCCAGCCCCAGTGACCCTTCACCCTGGGCCTCCACCCATACAGTCGTGGGAGCTGCCTGCCGTTGTCAGGAAACCTGCTCATCAGGTTTTCACTCCACAGACTAATGTGTGTGTTTGAGTGAGTTTGTATAAGTGAGCATACTCCTTGTCAATCACAAGCCTCAAACAAAATGCCTGTGACTTGACAAAATTATTTTATATTAATAATTACTACATAACATCGAATACACCTGGGAATGAGTCTTTCCAGGTTTCTCTTCTGACTTCCTGATCTTGTGTAGTTTTTTTTTGGGCAGGGCTCCAGATTTTGTATCTGCAGCGCGACTTGTTGGTGCAAGTTTGAGCTACACCTTATACATTTTTCAAATAAAGAACCATCCTATCTGATAAGTTCACTTGGGTTCGCAATACTCACCAATGCACCTTACTGTATGTTTTTACATTATTCAATGCAAGAACCTCAGAGGAGAAGTGTATGAAAACTACAATATACATGTAAATCCCAACCTTTTATGAATTGTTTTACAAGAAAAAGCAAAAACAGTTTCTGCCTTGGTTACTGTCTCAAACGTTACAGTCAATTTTAAAGGAGACGTTTCAATGTGTCAATTAATCTAATCTTTCCATGTTGGCACACAAGAATTCTTATTTTATGTTCTAATTTATAAACTTCAAATGAACTCTACAGCACAGTCTTTCCCTACCAACTTGTTTTGGTATGAGGCTCAATAAACCCAAAATAATCTCCTGTTTTCTATCTCCGCATTTCTGCAGAATGAATGTTACCCACCACAGAAATCCTCTTCATAATAACGTGTGACATATGGCTTTAACAGTACAATGCCTTCACTGTGCTGCTTACAAGTGTTTTCAGATGTTTGACAGTCACTGACAGGAATCTATGCTGAGCACATTGCAGGGGTACATTGTGTGTGTCTGTGTCTGTGTGTGTGTGTGTGTGTGTGTGTGTGTGTGTTACATGCAAGACAGTGTGTTGGCAAATTTATGCAGACCCGGCAGATGCACCGAAGGTGCTAGGGGGCACTAGAGATGGCAAAGTCAACAAGCAAAGGCCTTAATAGACAAATAAAGGGGGACGGTAACCCTCATTAACGCTCTGTTGTATGGCAGCTGGTTATGGCTCGATTCCATGCAATAAGCAACCACGCTTATCTTCCGTCTTCAAAGACAATAAAACAAGTCGAGGTGCTGTGTTGGCACAAACTGAGCTATAAACCCCATAAATTGCCACCTTTATCTCTGTTCACATTCATACTGGCACAACTTCACAATGTGTTGAGTACTGTAATCAAAGTTGATCTCGGGGGTTTGGAGGAACAGAATTTGTACAGAGATGAACTGCTTTGTCTCGCTGCTTTTCACCACAGCTTTTCATGTTAGTTAAAGCACCACTCCCTCATCTTTTCCCCCTCAGGCTTTGCATAAGGATGTGTCGTGTTGTGTTTCAGTCCCTTAGCCTACCCCGCCCACTTTTTCTCCCCCAGGCATGAATGTGTGTGCACAGTGCTGTTTGTGCTGAGTTTCATTGTAGCTCTTGCAGGCAGGGGGCTTTGTTTTTCATTACCGTTGTATGAGTGATAGAATTGTTTTTGTGAAACAGAGAAATGTGTGTACTTCATGTGTTTCACAAGTCTTTGTCTGTTCTGAATTTTCTCTCTGCGGCACTTAACCCAGCAACTAATTGAAATTCTCCACATGTTTTGCCTGTTTGTGTTATTTACGATACAGATCTGCTGTTTTTGGTAAGTTCCACGTTTTCTTTCTACAGATTCTGAGCTTCACAGGGCGCAATAGCTCAGTGAGTTTCAGCTGTAGTAAATCTGGCACGAGATCCTGCAGGACCAGGCCACGGAGGACTGTCTGTGCTTGCAGCTACATGCTACCTTACAGATAATACACTGACTCATACATGCACAGGCAGCAACTATGCTTACAATTAGTGTGAGAAAAAGCAAGAAGGCATGCCATCTAGATACAAATATCTGTTCGCCATCCTTTGATCAATACATAAATTGTAATAAATCCCACTCCAGCTGAGGCTCTGCTTATTAAGCCCCCTGAACACTGTTTGAGGTATTAGTATAGCATGCACAGCACGTCGACACACAACTTTCCTGTTCTCAGTAAATCAGGGTCTGTGTTTGTGTAGTCTTTGTTTTCCTGGGCGAGGCATCGAGTTCAGCCAACTGTTGCAATGCTGCGACACGCCCTGCATATCGCCTAGGTAACTGAAACACTGCTACGGCCCTGTACGGGGGGGGGGGGGTGGTATCTGCTGACCCATCTGATGTCTAGAGCTATGCTTGCTTGATTGCTGATAAGAGTTGTTGCCTCTTGGGTTGTCTGATAATCGTCTTTTAGTTTCCACAGCTTTGCACTGTAATCAAGCCAAAGAACATGAAGGTAAAAATGTAAGAAAATCATGTTTTTAAAATAGTGTTCTAAATCTGAGTCTTAACAAAAACAAAAAAACATTCATTTGCTGCCTTATGACTTGCTTTTAGTTGTGGTGCAACTGAGGCATTTTGTCAGTGCTGGCTAAAAGCTGTTGTTGGTTTTATTGTGCACCTTCAACTGGACTTTGCCCTTTTTTAGTTAATGAGTGATGCATCCTCTCAACTGTACCTTGCTCTGTAATCGTCTTTTAAAACACCACAGTCCTTCTAACCATTCATCCACCGACAGCCATGAGCAGAAACATGGAAGCCGCACTTTTCACACAAATCTGACACCCATCACCTCCCACTATCTGCACCAAAAAAAAAGCAACAGCCTCTGTTTAAGTCGCTTCTCCTGCTGGAAAAAATAACCTGCACAGTAAAATCAGGAATGTGTGTCGTCGTAGGCTGCCAGTGAAGGAGTTGCAACAGAAAAGCACGAAAAGATGCTATGCATCTGAAACTCTAGTGTGACATTCCACACTAATGCTATATATTCAATCTGTCCGACGCACGTAAATCTTGTCCTGTAAAACCCACACGTTTAAAACTCTACTAAGACTGAACTCTTCTAAACATAACTCAATGACTCACTCAGACGCTCATGAAACTAGCAGATACTATGAGGACATGCCGGCTGTGACAATGCATGAATAACTTAATCATGAAAACAGGTTCACTCATCAGCCCCCCCTCCAACCTCAGGCATGTAACACAGGGAGTGTCTCCCCAGCAGTGACTCGCTCTCGATAAGGGTGTGGCAGAGAGTGTGGCTGTACCAGTTAACTGGGTGAGGCTGATTACACCTTGTGGCTTAAGGGGCTTAACTGTAGATCGGAATCCTCCTTTTTATTAATTAGTTATGCGGTTAAAAACTCAGTAAAGATATTAAAAACATGCCAGGAGTTTGACTTTGCTGACTTAAGCCTCTCTTTGTGTCACAGCAGAAATAAATCAAGTCGGGTAGGGGCCCGGGGGGCTGGAGATACACTCTGGTCGTATTCCTTAGTGCGTCCTAGCTTACATCACACAGTTTGCAGTGATTTGTTGTTCTGCTGCATGGTTTTCTGGTAGGCAGGGGTGTAAAAAACACGACACAGGAGCTTTGCCTGCGGTTCTTCTATGACTGCTCGTGAAGATTAAAAGCAGTTTGACATTTTAGGAGGCGCTCTTTGAATTTTGGCTGTTTGGAAGAAAAAGACTGATTCTTTTCTCCAATCTGTTAGTTAAATTTAAAGCTGGAGCCAACAGCCAGTTAAGAGTAGATTCAGTCAATACCTGGCTCTGATGAAAACTAAAACTAAAACACACCTACCTAATTAATACTGTTCATTAAAACACATGTTATAAATACTCCTTCATATGAAGACTAAAGAGCAAAAACTACAGGAAGTAATCCTGCATATAATCAACTTCACAAACCTGCTGTTTTTACACAAATGCTCACGGTAGTTTTAAGCATACGTAAGACCTGAGCCAGTTTTTCCCTTATCATGCTAACTAACAACAATATTGTTTATAATTTCAAAACTTCAGACAAAAACTAAAGAACAAAAACTCTGAGACCCTGGATGTAACACTTATTTCAAAGTTCACCCCTCTGTTTGATTGAACGTAGAATACAATTCAACAAGAAGTTGGAGCTAGCCTCTCTTTACAAAGAGAGAAGCAACGGATCACCTCAAACTAGAGACACCCTCCCCTACACCCTGACGAAGTGCTGACTTTTTTTTTTCATTTCCCCTTATAACTGAACTGGGCTTTTGTATGCCATCAAGCTTTGCTCTGTCTTTTACCTCGGTTTAAAAATCAGGGACAAATACATGTCAAATGTAAAACCGGATTTCGGGCCACATATCAATGTCAAAGGACCAATGTGTATTTGTTAAACTGTAGATATCTGCATCAAGGCCAAATGCGCTTAATGAGATCTTTTTCACAACTGTTTTCATTACGTTTATACTGCAGGACGCCATGTTGAAAGACTTTTGCTACTCAGTCGGACTGATGGAGCGTGTTCCAGTGGAAAAGTGGGAAAAGTGACGCCAGTGCATACGCTATAAAGTCTTTCCCCTGATTGAGTATAAAATAGCATTTTCCACCAGGCAAAAGTTACAAAGTTCTTACTGTCTCTTTGGCTGGCTGTAGTTTACAATTTATGGTACACACTTATGGCATTAATCTTCACAATCATTTCATGCAGAATTGT